TCGCCTAGCTGTTCTCATCACCACCTTGTGAGTTCCCTTTCCTTCTCTCCTCTGTTGGATCCCCCATCCTGGCCCCCTGGCTTCACAATTGTTAATTTACACCACTCCCCAGTAGTTTCTTGAGAAAGGGAACTTGGGAGATAAATTGTTTTGAGATTTTGCATTTCAGAAAATGGTTTCACTCTACTCTCACTTTGATTATTATTTTGGTTGAGTATTCTAGGTAGGAAATAATTCTCCCTCAAAATTTTCCGGGTATTATTTCATTATTTCCTAGTGTCCAGTATTGCTTTTGAGAAATCCAAAGTCTTCCTGATTATAAGCCCTTGAATGTGACCTGTTGTTTCTTCACCTCTTTATCTCCAGGGTTCTAAAATTTCATGGGTGTGCCTCCATGTGTATCCTTTTCATTTGTTGTGCTGGGCTCTTGATGGGTCCTTTAAATCTGGAAATCTGTGGTTTTCAGCTCTGAAAAATATTCTTCGGGAATATCATTTTCTCCTTTTTCTTTTTTTTTCTTCTAGAACTCCTTCTGGGCTTCATGGATTGATCTTCCAGTTGTCTTTTTTCCCCCCACGAACCCCCAAAGAGCTCATTTTCTAACAGAATAAAGATATTAAAAGGAAACATTAAAACGTTTTCCCTTTGTGGGTATTCGCTGTCTGATTAGTCCTTTCCTAGGTAACGTCTCAGTTGTCCCACTTTAAGACGAAAAAAAGAGAATGGTTAAATGTATAAATAGGAGCCATATTAATGAAATGTTTCAGAGTAGCCTTCAGCGTGGCCAAGAGCAGCTATTTTTCTCTCATTTTGGAAATAATATGGTAGGAAAATGACATTGAAAACTACTGAAAAAACTTCAGCTTCATACTGTTGTCCTGTTATGCAATAACAAAATCATTTCAATTTTCTTCTCTTTTCCATTCTTTGTATCTTGGTCTTCAACTTTGCCTTGTAGCCCTTCCACTAAAGTTTACATTTCTGTGATTGTTTAATCAGTTTTTAAGAATTCCGTCTCGTTTTCTCCACGTTTACGGTTCTTGTTTTGTGGATACATTATCCCTCTGAAGATATGAACTGTGGCAGATGTGTTTCCTTTGTGGTTTTTGTTTGCTCTCTTTTGTCTCTTTGTTTCTTTTAGTGTCTACGTTTTATGTTTAAGGATTTTCTCAAAAGCCTTGTGATGCTGATGATCTTTGGATATCTGCTTATTTTTAAGTCAGCATAGAAAGTTGCTGATTGGCTGGGTGTGGTGGCTCACGCCTGTAATCCCAGCACTTTGGGAGGCTGAGGCAGGTGGATCACCTGAGTCAGGAGATTCGAGACCAGCCTGGCCAACATGATGCAAACCTGTCTCTGCTAAAAGTACAAAAATTAGCCAGGCGAGGTGGCGGGCGCCTGTAATCCCAGCTACTCGGAGGCTGAGGCAGGAGAATCCCTTGAACCTGGGAGGCGAAGGTTGCAGTGAGCCGAGATCGTGCCATTGCACTCCAGCCTGGGAAACAAGAATGAAACTGTCTCAAAAATAAATAATGAATGAATGAATGAATGAATGAATAAATAAAATAACTAATAAAAGAAAGCTGCTGGTTGACTGCTGGACTTCACCGAAGGTGATTAGATATGGATCTGTTATACTGAGTACCCCCCAATTTTCAATATCTGTCTGTTCTTAAGCACTTCAGGGGAGCCAATGGGAGAAAAGAAATGAGAGAAGGGACATTGCATCATTTGAGTCAATTTTCCTGTTTTCACCCCTGCATCTCATACCTGTGTCTAGCTATGTCCGAGAGTCCAGATTTTCTTTGGTTTAATTTGTCCTGAGTAAACTCCCAGACTTCTGCAGAGAAGGGGAAGAGGCAGCTCGGGAAGGGAGAGAGAGTCCTCCCATTCTTCAGCCCTACTTTTCACCTTGTTGCCTGGAATTCCTAAGCCTTCTCTGGGTTCTGTACGTTTGAATTGGTTTGCTTCTCAGGATGCCTCACCAAATTCAGGACTGGGCTTTAGTTGTGACTCTTTCTAAGTCTAGCCCTACTTCTCCTCTGCTTTGAATATGCTAACTTTTGTTGGCGTATCTTGTCTGCTGTGATTTTCTCTCCTGTCTCTTTGTCTTTGGGTGCTTATACCTGCACATTCCTTCATTGTCCTTTTAGTGAGGTTTTGAAGGGACTAGAGACAATGCATGTTCTCCATCTGTCCCATTTCACCAGAAGCCTCCTCTCCTTTCTTTGTCTCTGCCTTTAATAGTTGCTTATCTTCCTTGAAGCTTCTGCCCTGCACTTATTCTAGTTGAACTTCAACTCAACCTAAAAATTCTCATTCTACCCGAGTCCTCTAAAGGACACAGATTTACCAGTACCATGGGAGAAGAATAGCTCAGGTCAATGTCCCAGCCATCTGGAGCATGTTGAGATAGCTCACCGTTGCCACTTCAAACTGACCTGGGTCAGTTGGCTTCATCTGGTCAAGCCCGTGGGTGCTTCTGGGATCAGAAGGGCCAGTGGAAGTTAGGTACTGGTGCTGGGCTTCGAACTGACATGGAGCTGTGTTTGAAGTTGATTTGGTGAAACATACCCACATCTGGTCACCTCCCATGAAGCCCACCAGGCAACCAGTTGCATCTCCATGTACAGAATTTCCAAGCAACTTTTTGTGCCTCACTCTTATCAAAGGTCCTATTGAAAGAGTATCCGCCCGGCCTCCTGCCTGCATGTCTTCCCTCCAGTTTTATCCCAATCATTTCTGTCTGATTGACAGGCATTTTCTTTACTATCATCAGTCTCTAGCTCTGCGGCTCCAGGGAGTGACTGTCACCTATACAATGTCTGATTTTCACCCTTGGGTTTGTTTTTGTTATTCTATCACTATGTCATCTTGTAAACCATTTACTCTTAGGCAAATGAACTTCTTTCTTTTTCTAGAGTATGTCTGTTCCCTTGGAGTTTTCATGCCTTTGCACTCTCCTGTCCTTTCCTCAAATGCTGTTCTTAGTTTTTTTCCAAAAATATCCTACTCAACCCTCCTGGCCTGCTTCCGATACCAGCCCCATTGACAACACAAGTTCTCACTGATTTCTCTGCACCTTTAAGTTGTAGTACTTATGGACAATAGTGCTTTTTTTTGGTCACTTGTCATTTATAATCTGAAGTTCTTTTCCTGTGAGTGCCCAGTTTTAACTAGAAATTAGTGATCATGCACTGAATATACTGTGTCTCTCTTACTCTCCATAACGAACAATCAATTTTTCTAAGCGCCCATTTTACAGATGAGAATACCAAGGCCTGGTGATTAAATCACTTTGCGCCGGGTTGCACCTGCTCTTTACAGACTAGTACAGCCAGGCTTTTCTGCATTAAGGTGAAGGCTGTGGTTTGGCCATCATCACTGCCCTGATGGGCACTGCTTCAGATTCTGTAGTTGAAGAGCATCACACACTAGCCTTAAGAGAAACTGGTCCAGGCCTTGGAATGCAGGCGGTGGATGTGATATGTTAGGGCATGGAAGAAATCCCACAGGCAGTTTGCAGACTTGAATAACTGCAGCAGGGGTCTAGCAAACAGACCATGGACAGAGAGCCAGCGGTCAGGGCCAGGCCAGGGAAAGAAGGACCATCCCCAGGAAGCCTTTTGTAGGTGTTGTCTCCATGTGGCGTTTGGGAGGATTGAAGCTTTAGTGTTTGACCCTGAACTAGGCTCTTCTCTTTCTGGGTCTTTAGTTCTCCACTGGTCAAATGCAAGATTCCAGTGGGTTAAAGAGCTCCGGATGTGCCTCCATGACAGGCCTGGTCTGGCCCGAACCTTCCTCACCCAGCAGGTGTGGCTTTGCAGTCAGGGCCTGTCTGTAAGGTAGGGCCCTGCCATGGTATCTAGAGAGTCCCCACACTGTTTGGTTGTGGCCACAATGGAATAACAAAAAGAACCACAAATTTTAATACTGTTGCAATGCCTCCTCATTCTTCTTTAGTGGTATGTACTTACTGTTCTGATGTCAAATGCATCATTAGATAGGGAGTGGTATTCATTTTTTTGTTCACTATTTATTTACAGACATTAAAACTTTGATGTTTGTTTAGGGCTATAAAATAAAGGTTTAATTTTGTGAGTGTGAAAACTTTACTGGGCGGGCATGGTGTCTCATGCCTGTGGTCCCAGCACTTTGGGAGCTCTCTTGAGCCCAGGAGTTCGAGACCAGCCTGGGCAACGTGGCGAAACCCCGTCTCTACAAAGAATGCGAAAATTAGCTGAGCGTGGTGGCATGTTCCTGTAGTGCCAGACACTTGGGGAGGCTGAGGTGGGAGGATAAGAGGTTGCAGAATCGAGATCGCGCCACTGCACTCACTCCAGCCTGGGCAACAGAGTGAGATCCTGTCTCAAAAAACAAACAAACGAAAACCCCACTTTTCTATGCCATGTTGTTTTTTGCTTCTCTCTCTCTTTCTCCATCTTTCTCTTTCCCATTCTATTTCTTTCTTTTTTTTTTTTCAGCAAGCGTTTCTGCAGGCTATGTATCTCTAGATTCAAATGTATCATTTATAAAATGGGCTTCATCATATCTCTTCCGTGGGCTACCATGTGTGTGAAGTAGGGAGCGTGCCCAGTGTCTCGCACGCAGTGGCTGGACAATGGATATTACTTTTCCTTCTTCGTTTTTATTGCCCCATCTACATCAGGCCTACATGTCCCTCCGCTGCTGGGGTCTCCTGGGTGCCAGTCAGCTGTGAGGTCAGCTGAACAGGACCTTGGGCAGGGAGGGTCTGGATGCCCCGATGTGTTCATTCCGTCAAGGGACACGGTTCTGCAGGGGCTGCATATAAAATGAGTCCGACTTAAAACTTCTTCCTGTGTGCCTTAAGCTCTGTAGACAAAGATGCTATGGAAATAGAGGGCATTTGGGATGTTATTAGTTGGCGGCAGCTTTAAACATACCACCCTGAGTTGAGAATAATGCAGGTGTCCCCAAATGTGGCTGGCAACTCCTCAGTCACATATTAAAGTCTGCAACAGATCAAGAAAAAAGGCAGACGAGAGGACCCTGCAGCCTCTTCCACTCTCTTGTTAGGTTACTCCGGCTGCTGACCTCTCTCTTTCAGGAGCACTTTCTTTTTGTTGGGGCTAATTCCTGAAGCAATCCTCCCACAGCTCATTTCCCCAGGCTATAAGCAGAGGCTGACCAAGGGGCCCTGCGGTCAGAACTTATTGCCACAAGCAGGAAGTGGTTAATGCCTTCCATTTACTTTTAGTTGGAAGAGGAAAGGCTGAATCTTCCTTACAATAGGGGCAGGAAATCAACGTGACCATACCAGTTATTATACCTTCCGGAGGGAAAGCAGAGCTCTTTCAGGGCACCAAGGATGACATCTTGAAGCTACTCTGCCACCAACAGAACAAGGACGAGGGGAATTTATTACACATGGCTTGAGTGAGAGTGAATGGGAGATCTCTGCTGGCTGGTGAAGCCAGTCGCAACACGAGCGTGTGTGCAGTCATTGTAGATGAAGGCAGGAAACTGCCATTCTGTGGTCATTTCAGTGCAGGCATCTGGTGCCATTTTGTAAGTCAAATGCTACTTTAAAGATGAACAGGATAGTAGACAGGAGACATACAAGGATATAGAACAGTTTGAATAATCTGATCGATTTCCTTTCATCCCTTGTAGAGTTTACAAATGTCTTTTCTCATATCTGGAAAACTCCAGCAGGTATATGGCAACAAGAAACCCTTAACAAGTTTCAAAAGTAGAGTTTCTAAAGACCACAGTCTTGATTATAATCTATTAAAAACTGGAAGTAAATAATATGAAGCTGAACTCACCCCCACCGTCACCATCTTGACTGTTTAAAAATTAAACACACACTCCTGTATAATTAACGGATCAAAGAGGGAATCAGAGGGAAATGATAAACTGTCTAGAAAGAAAAGAAAAGGAGAACACTTCACACTAAACCTTGTACCATAGCAAAGGAGGTGCCCAGAGGATAACATGTAGCCTTAAATGTCTTCGTTGTTAATGAAGATGAAAAACAAAGATGACAATAAAGTAACTGTTTGGAAAAGTTTGAAAAAAGTACAAGTTAAACCAAAAGGAAGTAGAACGGAAATATAACAAATAGCTAAATATAATGAAATAGAAAGTAAATGGAAAACATTAAGGACATATACACATTTAAATGCCTGTTCTTGGGAAGGACTGAAAATAGAAATTTAACCATATGTATAATCAGGGAGAAATGTCGGAACAAATATCAGCATTTTCACTCAAGGGAAGCGACCATTAAAATTATTCTAAAACCATTTGCAAGAGGGTTGAGCAAAATGCTTATGTCAAGGAAAAGAAAAAACCAATAAAAATGTGTATTGCAGTATGATTATAATTATGTGAATACAATCTCCCGTCCCTTCCCACCTGCAAGTTGTGCAAAGATTTAAGTCTAAAACAATACATCAAAATACATGAGTGGGAATGAAGTATTGATTCATGCTAAACAGATGAATCTTGGAGACGTTGTGCTAACGTTAGCTAGAAGCCAGTCACAAAAGACCTCGTACTGAATGATTGCATTTATACAAAGTGTCCAGAATGAGCAAATCTATAGAGACAGAAAATAAATTAATCATTGCCTCCAGCTGGAGAGGTTGGAGGGTTTCAGAGTGATGGGTCTGGGGTTTCCTTTTGGGATGATGAAAGCGTTCTAAAATTGATCTTATGATAGTTGCAAAACACTGTGAATATACGAAAAACCATTGAGTTGTCTACTTTAAGTGGTAAGGTATGTGAATTATATCTCAAGCTGCTGCAGAAAAAAAATCACAGTGATTCTCTGTGATTTTTGGGGGGATAGAAAAGAAATCTCTTGGGAGATAGAAATGTCAGTCATTTTCCTCGTTTTCCCACTCCTCTGTGATTCCCACGTTTTCCAGGTTTAATTCTGTATTACTTGAATCATGGAAACATTTAGTAGATTAAAAAACATTTTAAAGGAAGAATGAGAATAATCAGCCTTTTACCAGCAAAGACAATGATGGGAGACCTGCTAGCCTATCTTTCGGGAAGGTGGGGGGAGGCCGGCTCCTCTAATCCTCAAATCTGGGAATGGTCGTGGTGGATTGCTCAGTTGCCGGCACTTACAAGAGTGTCGGAGGGCCCATTCGTCTGCAGGTCATGGAAAATGAAACATCATTCGTCTGGGAACTCTCAGGGGCAGGACCACATCTCTGGGAAAAGTGGGAGTCCTGTGAAATCTGGGGATGGCAAAGAGGCACCTCTAGTGAAATATTCTAAGAGGTGTCAGGCTCTGCTGAGTGCTAAATTAGAGAAAGCTGTTACTTATATAACTTCCTGTAATTGCCCGGCAGTAGCTGCAGCTGAGGACAGCCGCCCTCTCTCGGTCTCTGCTGAGCGGAGGCTACATGGCCCTTCCTCCTTTCAGTTGTTTCACCTTCTACCTTGCGTGGAGTCAGACTTTTGCACCGAATCTGAGATGCCATTTTAAACAGAAGACTCCATTCTCTTGAAGATGGGAAATTCTTACGCTGGACAGCTGAAGACGACACGCTTTGAAGAGGTCTTGCACAATTCCATCGAGGCATCCCTGCGGTCCAACAACCTGGTGCCCAGGCCCATCTTTTCCCAGCTGTACCTGGAAGCTGAGCAGCAGCTTGCCGCTCTAGAAGGTAGGAGATGCACATTGCTTTTATTTGTGTATTTCTTTTATTGTGCACAGTTAGTGTTAGCACCAGAACTTGAAACTGTTTTCTTTATGTAGAAGACGTTGAATCGAGCAGAAAAGAATTATTAGAAAAAGAAAATTGTGTACAAGTTCTTACTTTGGCTAAAATGTAAATAAGTTTCAGCCATAAAGTTGCAAGAAATAAAATTATTCATTGAATCAGTAGGAGAAAGGAAGAGGACAACTTGTTCTCAATCGGTTGTTACTTACGCTCTTATTAGAAGGTTTGACATTTTCACTTGGAAAAGCAAGAAATTTTGACCCTCAGCAACATATTCCTTCTCTTTGTCCTGTGATTTGTGGCTATTATCTTTGCAAAGTAATAGTAGGTACGAGAACTCTTAGAAACTTTTAAAAACCAAAAGCAAACCCTTATAAATTTAATATATGCCAGGAATAAAGAACTAAATTCTCTTCAGGCATGGGGATGACTTTTTAGAGTTTATTTAATTATGCAGAGAACGAAATGATTGTTTTATAAGCCATGTGTTTTCGTGTCAGAAGTAACCCCTCAGCGATCCAGAGTATGAGATCGCTCTGTTATGGAAGTTCTTTTTGTAAGTTGATGTCTTTGAAGTTACCCGCAGACTTCTCTTAGCTATTGAAGTGAAAAAGGGGCTATGCTTTAAAACAAAAATTAATTAACTAGAATTAAAGAAGAAAGCACTCAGTGAGCCAGGTCTTGTGCTGGGGTGGTCTTGCTGTGCGTGAGTGTGTATGTGGAAGGGGATGGTTGGGTTGGAGAGAATTGCACCTAAGAAAAACGAGGTGTGGCGGTCTTGTCTTCAAGGGGCCCCACACTGAGCTTGTGTGAGATCTGATAGTTCCTTATTCTAGCAGGGAGGCATTTTTGTGTCATTGTTTAAAACGTCTGTTACTAAATTCACCTTGCAAATGGCCCCTCTAAACCCCCGGAAGAACTGGATCTGGGTCTGAGAGAAACTAGACTGTGGTCAAAACCATGCATTAGGAAAACCAAGAATTCTCTGGCATTCACATCAAAAGCACCGATGCTTTCTGGCATGGGAGACGTGACTGATTTTATGGGGAGCTGAGGAATGGCTGGAGAGTATTTTATGGACTGTTTTTGGCCAGTTGAAAGACTTTGGTGGAATATGAATTACCTAGTCATCTTCTACCTCTATAGTATTGAAGAGCTTTGTGGCTAATGATGTGTTAGTAATAGTGATACTGATGGTAATGTTTATTTGAATGATACCTTAAAATCCACAAAGTGCTTTCACCTCACAAGCCAAAGTAATTGAATTCTGTGATTTGGGAGGATGGAAGGGTGGCTTGCTGGAAGCTTGAGTGACTGAGCAGCAGTTGCACACGCAGCTTTGGCCAAGCTCTGAGATAAAAAGGGGACAGACAAGGGGTTGAGTGGACTCAGGGCTGCCCACAGTGGGAGAGAGGAATAGAAAGCCCTTTGAGGATTCCAAATCAGCTTTCCCTCCTGTTGAAAGATCGTGATAGTTGCTTTCTGCCCACCTTTAACTGGGAGGCTGTGTCTGACATTCCGACAGCTCAGGGTGCCCTTATCTGCTGCTGGAGATGTGGCACTGTGCAGGGACAGCACTGAGGCTTAAGCCTTCGTTCCTCCGGCGCTGTGGTTGAAGGTTCCCTGCCAGCTGTCAGTCGGCTTGTCCAGCTCCACGTTGCTGTGAAAACTGGACCAAGCCCTGTGATTTTCCCATTTGTCCAACACACAGAAGAGAGAAGTCCTCCGAGAGTTTGGTTTTCTAGTGCGGCAAAACAAGGGGGCTGAGGGGGCTGGTGGGAAGAGACAGATTCCTTTTGCTTTGCTAAATGTCACCCTAAACCAAGCACTCAGCTAGAGCCCCTGCTTCCTGCATAGTCAAACCTGGCGCAGACAGGCTTATCCAGGCCACATCTCCTTGTGTCTGTTTGTCAGGGTTTCTTATCTCATTGCTGGCCTTCCTCAGACAATGACATTAAAGATGGTTTTTATGACCGGGGTGCTGGTATGCTGAACACCCCTTGATCTGTTAACATTTTATGTATTTGTGAGGGGGATTTAGCAGGAGTCTCATTACTTTGCTCTTTGAATTTGGGCTCTTAACCTACCACCTCCTATAGGGGAAAAATCCTTTATACATTCTTGATTTTTTTTTAAAGAAGAGAGATCAACAAAACAGACACTGTCCAGCATTTTGGGATAGGTATTTATTCATTAAACAGGACATAGGTAAAATCCTGTAGTCCCACTTACTTAGAATGCCATAGAGTTTGTGCTCATGGAAAGAAAACACAATTGCGTGTCAACATTGAAAGCAGTAGCCTTGTACGGAATGGAGGGAAGTGGTGCTCCAGGGCCCCTGAGTTCCTGTGTTTTGTTGTTAGGATTCTAAGCTCCCAATCCAGTTGGTTTTGTCTAATGCCATTTTAGAGCTCTCGTCCTGCCAGGAGACCTGGGTAAACACGTCTGGTTTAGTCTGCTCCCGGGCAGGAATGTCCCCTCGAGCTTGTTGCTAGTGGATCTTCCCATCACAGCTCCTGGAATGTCTGACGTAGACCTTTGACCTTTAATCCTGCTTTCTTACTGACTGGATTTTGAGCTCTTTCTTTGACCTTTTGAGGCTTACGACCCTCTTCTTTCATGCCTTCTGAGAGTCTGAATTCCTGTTCTTAGCAGCTTAGCAGAATCACGTGCAGGCATTCCCGGGTGTGCCCTTTGCTGCGACGGTGCGGGCCTTGGGGGCTGCTGGTTTTAGTTTTCCTGGGATTGTGTCTCCCTTATTTCACTGATAGCTGGTGTCTGTGACATCCCCTCTGAGCCTCTATGGTGCTGGCTTAGAGGCCAGAGTCGATTTTGCAGACAGAGTCTTCTGTGTCCCCAACACGGAGACCTGTTCTGCATTGCTGGAGCCTGGGGTCTGGGCATGAGTCTTTACACCTTCTGCTAAAACCACGCCTGCTATTTTTAGTGCCAGGAAGAAAGCATCCGAAGCAGGCTCAAGAGTGTATCTCCTTCCCCACCCCACCTCTGGGTAATCTCTTCACAGCCTTCCTACCACCTCTGTGTCCTCTAAGCCCAGGAAGACTGAGAGATCAGGAATTATTGAGTCACTTCCTGCTGTGACCTTCCCAAAGTCGTGGTTCCCACCTGCTGGAAACGTTCAGCTTCTTCTGTCTCTTGTCCCACAAGCCCGTTTGAAATGGTAGCCATTGTGAGGCTGTGTTTCCAGTAT